TGTACCCACAATCTCTTGTTCTTTTCCTCAGACACAAAATACAACGTATTATCGATTTTTTAACCTCCTGAGCAACACGATACGTTTATAGGTACACGGCAGCAAATCATGTTCCTCCGACTCATGTATGTAATATATATCCTTTATGTTCCTTGTTAATGTTAAAGCCAGAAAGAGTTTAAAAGCCACCGAAACTTATCTACCATTGTCTACTGGAGTCTTGGTATTACATTGAAAACCATTGTTAAGCTGTTGCTAGCAGAAAAACAAATTTGTTCTAGTTGGTTTACAAATAAACACGACTGTAATCAAGGTTACATGGCATTTCCTCGCACTATCACATTAATTTTTGTGTGTTTAAATTTTAATTTCAGATTAAAAATATTAATAATATCTTTATTTTAATTTAGAAAATTCGTAGATATAAGAAATGGATGGTGTGTCACTAAGTCAAAATGTAACACTCTGACATAATTAGACAATTATAATTTCATCAGAAGAACTAAGACCGCGAAACCATGTCACTAGTGAGTTGATACACATACATACCATATTGGTAAATACATTCTTAAAATGTATGTAGTATATAACTCTATTCGAGCAAGTTTTCAGTAAGGAGCAAACCCGTGTTAATGAAGTGTTTAAAGTGTGAACATGGAAGAGCTTCAAGTGTTTACTAAGATATTAAACACCATACGATGGATCAGATGGTGTGTTGCTTCTAAGAAATTATGGGTAACAGTGTGCGTTTACTTTTTATCTGATATCCGAACAACTGATGCATGTGTTTGATTAGTCAATAAGTGTCTCTTCCGTGTTTAATACAAGGCCAATACTGCGTCTCTTGAACTGCGTCACTGCATACAATTATTTTAGGTGACATTGTTACGGCAAGAAATCACCTTTAACTTGTAGCCAACAAAAGACACAAATCAATAATAAAATTTAACAAGATTTATCATACACAAGTTTACAAGAAATATTATACAAATTGAAATGTTAACTTAACTGTTAAATTATATGTCCGGTCCTTTGTCTTTTCTTTACCTGGAATTCTTCTCTTAACTGTACGGAATATGTCCAATCTAGTATGATGTAATTTACGTAAATAAAGTGTCAATCCAACAACTCCAGAGAACGTCTGTGAATCCAAGTAAATGAATGTCTAAACAAGTCTAATTTCGGTATCTGCATATATAGTTGTCAAGGAAACTTCTAGAATACTGTAAAATGGAAACTCGTAGAAAACTTTAGAACGGAAACTTCTAGAATACGATAGAAGTTTAAATTACACATCGTATATTATAATCATTCCAGAATTATTATGTATTAGTATTAGTATGTATTATTACTTCAGATAGAAAGTTCTAACCATTCCATCAGTATTTATGATTGTTACAGTGATTTCTAAACTGCACAATAATAACATTATGTTGTAAACAACTATACATATGATGTAAACATATTATACATAGTATAAGGCCACAACAAAAAACAAATTAGGTCAAGGTAGATAAACATGATAATAATAATACCTCCCCTTTTAACTGGTTTACTCTCACATTCATTTGTACGCTTTAAAATAAGGTTTTAACATATTAATATGACACACTCTATTTTATCGCGCCGACCTGGAGCTCTTTCAATATAATTTAAATCATTGATTTTACTCTCTATTGTATAAGGACCACAGTATTTAGCCAATAAAGGATATTCAGGGACTAGCAAACATACAAGTACCTCATCACCAGGCTCAAAACCTCTGTCCCTGGCATCTTTATCATACCATATTTTCATCTTATTTTGAACAGTTTTTAAGTGTTTTTGAGCAATATGACAAGCAGTATACAATTGTTCTTTAAATCTAGATACATAGTTTAGAGGATTCAAGTCAGTGTGTTCAGTTAGCCATTTTTCCTTAACCAATTTTAAAGGTCCCATTACAGTATGACAAAATGCCAACTCAAAGGGATTAAAACCAAGGGATTCTTGAACAGCCTCTCGGACCGTAAAAAGAAGAAAGTAAACACCATAATCCCAGTCTCTGTCAAATTGAAGACAAAAAGTTCTAATCATGTTCTTCAATGTTTGATGAAAACATTCTAAGGCACCTTGATATTCTGGATGATAAGCACTTGACCTATAATGAGAAATCCCTAACTGGTAAACAACCTGCTGAAATAAATAAAGGCAACAGTATCATACCGCTGTTCCAAACTCATAAATCGATTGAGAAAAAAAAAAAACAAATCCGGGTTACAAACTAAAACTGAGGGAAACACATCAAATATAAGAGGAGAACTACGACACAACAGAAACACAACATTAAAATGTAACACACGCAGCAACGAACTATAATATAACAATGGCCATTTTCCTGACTTGGTACAGGACATTAAACCCGAAATGAAATTTGAACCCTGGTCGGACTGTTTAGATTTAGGAAGTCCTATTAACGTGAACAATTTTATAAAAGCTTTCACAATAGATGGTATATTGATATTCCTTAACGGAATAGCCTCAGGAAAGCGAGTGGATGTACACATGATCGTCAATACATACGCATTTCCAGTCTTTGTCTTTGGAAAAGGTCTAAAGCAATTAATCAATACTCGACTGAAAAGTTCTTCAAAGGCTGGATATGGCAGAAGGGGTGCTGGTGGTATTTTTTGGTTAAGTTGCCAACAACCTGGCATATATGGCATGATTTCCAGTATTGTGTGACATCATCCTTGAGTCTGGGTCAGTAGAAATGCTGCAAGATCTTAAGGCAAGTCTTCCCTATAACTAAATATCCAGCCAAGGGGTGTCATTGGCAAGATCAATAATTTCGTGCCTATACACTTTGGTCATCTCCACTTGGTATACCACTCTCCATTCTTCCTCTGGGATAGCATAGGGGCCTCAATTTCCTCATTAAAATGCCGTCTTGATGGTAGAGGTATTCGGCCACTTTGTCTGCTCCCTCCTGTGGTTGAGCCCTCTTGCGGAGCTGAAGAACCTCATGGTCTTTATTTTATTCTTCCACACATTTTCTTCTGTCTAATGAATGGCTGTTCACTCCTGGCCATTGCATAATAACATGTTTGTTAGTAATAGGTGGTCTTATCATGGCCTTTTTTCTGAGCAACAGAAACCGTCAATGTCGACAAGGAAAGTGTCAGAAAGGTCCATATAATCAGACTGGTCGTCTTGCAAATCCTCATTTTGTTGTTTTCTTGCCTGCGCCCTAGTAACGAAACAAGCTGGATACAGTTCAGCATCATCCTCATTTGATTTAACACACACAACCGGTTCACTAGTAACAATTGGTTATGCAACCACTTTGTTCCTAGCTAGATCTTTCCTAGCAATAAGGGAGATTAGGACGAACACCCATAGGTCCAGTAATTAAATCTGACTTCTGATAAATACGTTGGAAGGGAACATCTATACAACCTAACTCCACACCCTGTAACAAAACAATGCACCAATAGAAGTCTCCTCGGAAAAAGGCAGCACACCTTCTAATAACAAAGTCTGAGAAGCTCCAGTGTTCCATAAAACCTTAATGGTCTGAGGAGTAGTATTATCAACAATAGAAACAAACCCATCAGATATAAAGGGTTTACAATCCTCCATGTAATTACAAAAACTGGACTTAAAAGCAGGACATTCCAACTTATAGGTAACAAGGGGTGTCTTACAAGCACTGGCTTTGGGTTTATTATCTCTTTCATTCTTCTTCTAGAGTCTAAAACAATCAGCCATCAAGTGATCATTTTTTTTACAATAAGCACAAGTTGTGACTTCTTTTCAAAAGTATAAAATTTTGGACTAGACATTTTATTACTGGATTGACTCTTATTCTTTGCAATAGGCTTATTATCAGTACGCTCAGTACTATGATTTTTGTAATTTCCGCTCGAAGTATTAACATTTTGACCTTTGACACTTCTTTATGTAAAAGGGTATAATTATCGGAAATAACAGCTGCATCTTGTAATGTCTCATCAGTTTTGTCATCTAATTGTGTGTTTAGTCTAAATGAACACACTGCTTGAGCACTTCTAATAACATCAATTGTCTTATATTACCAAAGTGGTTTTCTATTTTCTTTGACGTATGCCATTTATCAAATAGATCTTCTTTTTCCGTAGCAAATTCAACATAGGTTTGGGAATCAAACTTTTGATAAGACCTAAATTTCTGTCTATATGCTTCTGGCACTAGCTTATAAGCTTTCAAAACTTCATGTTTTACAGTATCATAGTCAGAACTTTTTTCTGATGAAAGTGCTGAGTAAATTTGAGCAGCCTTGCCCTCACAAAACATTTTGCAGCATTGTAGTCCAATAAGGCTTTGGCCATTTCAATTTTTGAGCAATTTTCTCAAACTGTGGAAAATATTTAGCAACTGTTCACAAAATCTGGGGACCAAACGTATATTCGTTGCTGCATCAAAATATTATGATTTTGACTCTTCATTAGTGTTGCTTTCTACTTTGACCATTTCAATTTTTATTTTCTCCATATCCAACCTTTCCCTCATTTTAAGTTCTGTCTGTTTTAATTCAAATTCATCCTTTTCTTTTTCCAATTGTTTTATTTTAACTTCGGTTTCCATTTTTTTTCCAATTGTTTTAATTTAAATTCATGTTCTAATGCAAGCTGTTATATTTTAAAAGCATCTCAAGTTCAAGAGCCTCTTCATCTAGAATTTTAGTGTCAACTTTTTTGTTTATTACCAAATTTTTTATAATTTGTTTTCTCGTGGATACTCTAAAATCAATTTTTAAATGTTTAGCAAGCAACACTTTTTCATTTTTCTTTAATTTATCAAACCCTTACATGTCTGGCGATTTCAAAAATTTACTGGCATCAAATGCCATTTTGTAGAATTGTGTTGGCTAATTCTAATTCTATAAATACAGAAAATCTTAATCTGATATTAGCCCCCGATTTCTGTAACGGCCAGGAATCATCTATAACTTGTAGCCAACAAAAGATACAAATCAATAATAAAATTAAACAAGATTTATTATACACAGGTTTACAAGAAATATTATACAAATTGAAATGTTAAATTAACTGTTAAATCATATGTCCGATCCTTTGTCTTTTCTTTATCCGGAATTCTTCTCTTAACTGTACGGAATATGTCCAATCTAGTATGATGTAGTTAACGTACATCAAGTGTCAATACAACAACGTAAGAGAACTTCTGTGAATCAAAGTAAATAAATGACTAAAAAAGTCTAATTTCGGTGTCTCTATATGTAGTTGTCACGGAAACTTCTAGAACACTGTAGAACGGAAACTCATAGAAAACCTTAGTACGGAAACGTCTAGAATACGGTAGAAGTTTCAATTACACATCGTATATTATGATCATTTCAGAATTATTATGTCAGTCAAATAGAAAGTTCTAATCGTTCCAACGTTCTAAACTGCACAATTATAACATTATTTTGTAAACAACTATAAATATGATATAAACATATTATACATATTATAAGGCCACACAAAACAAATTAGGCCAAGATAAATAAACATGATAATAACAATATCATAACAACATGTATACTGAAACATAACTAATCATTCCTTTCAATCAAGCCAAGTAAATTTTTACGAACATTTTCCTTGTACAATCAGAGTTGTAGTATTTTAAACTAATGACAAACAGAAAGTCGCCACAACTCAACATTATCAAGCTGCACACCAAATATGGAATAATCCCCTTTCAACGAAGCCGTGAAAACTTTGACGGTTTTTTTCTATCAAAGGCATGACGACGTGGGCGAAACAGGTAAAACACATTCTAATCAAACCATTTGCCAATTTAATATCATCTAAAGACTACACATTTAAACATAATCATAACATTTAATAAAACAAGAGAAATAACATTCATATACATATTACAGAAATATGTACAGTAGTCTCGCGCGTTAAATATAATACAATTTCAATCTACATGTTTATAAGTTTAATGGCAGAAACAACGTATAAATCAAATATATGTATGATAATTGAATTCACATAAAGAAATACATTGTAGGGTTATAGACATATTGTATGCAATTTGAATAATAACTTGAAGTACTAGAAAAGTCTACAGTTTTGATTTGTTTCGAATCAATTGCCTAAGGACTATTCCGACAGTTTATAATGCTTTTCAATATGTTAAGTTCTATAATAACTTTATTTGTAGGATAAATAGAAAAGTGAAATCAATTTGAATGAGTAGCGGACACTAGGATATACATTGTAGTTATATAACACTTGATTGGTAAGAAGTATAGCTAATTATTTTGAATTTGATATAATACTCAGTCACGAGAGAGCATTTAATAATTATCTGACATCAGAAAATAGCAAGGAATGAATGATTCCTGTGATGCAAATCGTACGACATAATTCTTTTGTGGTTAAAACAGATTAAACAATTGTAAAGTTTCTATTTTGATGTATCAGAATCATATATATTTTAAACATAAAACGTGCATGCAAATAAAACAAGGAAACATTATATTCAAGATTGTTTAATATTGTTTTTGCATCGGAAGGAAGTGTTTTCCATCATTTCTGTGTTTCACTAATGTTTGTTACTAGCTGTCACATCTGTCTTATGAAATTCATCCATCTGCAGAAATAAATACAGTGGTTGTGTTTGTTTAACTTAAAATTATACATCATACATGTTTACAAGTGATGTTATAAATTTGTGCTATCTGCTTCCTGGATGCAATTTGTTAATCCTTCTTTAAACGCATTGAAAATTAACACTTAGTTCGTCAACGATGTTAAAGAAGGTTTGCTTAAATGTTCGCAGTTTTGTTGTCCACAACATTAACTTCCATATTTTTAGTTTTTAGATAACAAACTAGTTTATTGCTGTGTTGGGGGCCGTGGTCTGTTTTCTGCTCTTTTGTCGGGTTGTTGTCTCTTTGACAAATTCCCCATTGCCATGCTCAATTTTATAATATACTGAACAACTCCTTAAGGACTGTTATTGGTTCATTTGTTTGATCTTGTATTTAGGCACGATTTGATGCAATAAATAGTGTGGACTGATGTTGTTTACGTTCAGAGTAAGAAACACGGTCATACAAGTCGTGTTAACGTTTCAACAAGAATTGCATCTCCCCTTTGAAAAAGTGTACTATTGATTCTCTATTAACAAACAGTACCTCTTAGCTCTGTATTTTGATAAATATATATAGTCACTTTATTTGTTGAAATTATCAGTATATGATGAGTATCGTATCTGGTCTATAAGAGTACCAATATTTTTCAAATGAAACCGATTTATGTCAGAGACGACCATACCACTTATCTAAATAAATAGTGTCCTTCATAAGAAGCAAGTTACAAACGTAAGTTAAGTTATCTCTTTACAAAAACAAGTTATAAAGATACTACTGCAGAAAAATGCCATTCTGTGCATATCCTTATCGATCAATTAGTAAATAGATGTATTGTACTTTTTCATGTGAAATTTTAAGTATGAAACAAATTAATTGAAAATAAACATGTTTTACTACGTGTTAGCTATCAGTGATACAATTTTGTATATCCATTAAATGTACTTCTTTTGATGACTAATGCATATCATGTACATCCGCGCCATCGACGAACAATATAAATCATAAGCTTTATCTCCAATACTTACCCTCCACAGGTACAGCTACAATGAAAACATTTTATATCATCGTCGGACTGTTGTCAAACTTTATTTACCTATCGGACCTAACAGTGTAAATTCTGTAGTTTGAAATGGTTCACATATAGTCATTTTGGGATCTTTTAGCTTACTTTATATATGATAATTGTATTTCTCACAATTGGAAAAGCCCGTAATGTGACTTATTGTAACTACCATCAACATAATTTACTCTATATTGTCCGTAATGTGACTTATTGTAACTACCATCAACATAATTTACTCTATATCGCCGTAATGTGACTTATTGTAACTACCATCAACATATTTAACTCTATATTGGGTAGCTGTCTCATTGGCTATTCTCTCACATTTTGTAATGTTTATCGTCTTTGCTAATAGATTAATGACTAAACACATAATTTATCAAAGTTTATTTGATTTTTTTATAAGCAAAGTAACAGTGTTATTTATGCATCTTTATAACAATTTTCAAACATTGCAACTATCACCTTTTTTTACTTTTATAAGCAGACTGCCATTTGTCATATGATTCATTTGAGAAAAAAATATTCAAAGTTGTTAGTTTTAGTTTTCGAGTTGGTACTTGACAGTTACCGACTAAAGTTAAATAATACATATATATGAAATAGTAATAGTATGATACATATATATATTAAATTACACAAAGGACAACACATGCTTTTTTTTTGTAATTCTAAAACTATGCTTTAAAAACAGACGTCATACATTTATTATTAGTCGGAAACAACTTTGAATGGCGACGATTAATCAAATAACCAGGAATTCTGGTTTACAGCAAAGTATGTACTTATCGGGAATTGATACATTGCTTGGACATATAGATATATAACATGAAAGGAATAATGAGAAAGAAGACACAAGATAAAAAAATATTGTTACAATTTAGACATATCGTCACCTTTTTTTCAGAAATACGGACATACTAAACATATACAATATTTGGATAACTTGGAATATCGTTACGCAATTAGATCATTCCGCTTATTGGAACCTGCATAATTAAGTACATTATTCAAGTTTCAAAGACTATCGTCATGTTATAAATTGCGATATAATTGTAAATTATACTTACCTGTTTGAAACTATTCACTTACCGACAGCAAAAAAAAAATTCAAGTAAATGATCATGCAATACAGCATATCATCTGGCAATGAGTTATAAACGCCACCGTAGTATAAGTAGTTAAGTGATAGTAGAACTGACAACTTATTGTTGAATGTTGTAGTCAGTAATCATGTAAAAAATTAAACTTTTGAATTTGTGATATTTTATAATAACAAACATATAATGTTTTCTGTAGCCTGGTTGAACTTCAGTCTTCTATTGTCTGTTTTGTCTTACTGTCATAACAAATAACAAATACAACTACGTTTGACGGAAAAACATGTTTGTTCTTTTATCAATTAAAAAATATAAAACTTTCATACGTGAGTTGTAATTAGTTAACAGTGCATATCAAAAGTTATAAAACTTTCAAACATTGTCCGTTTACAGATACAAGTACAACATTAAAAACATGATCTCTTTAATAAGTTTCTATATGTTTTACGGAATACTCTGTTACTACTGGCAGTGTATTTGTCAGGTTATTAAGTCGTAATGATTTACCTACACAACGTTTAAATCAATTTGGAAGCATTTTGTCTAAATAAAGTTATCAAACGTTTTGTTTCAATATAGTATTCGTTGTTTTCAAGACATTTATAACATTTAGATTTGTAAAAAAAACCAAATATTACATTGAACATATTTTGCGAAAGTATTTGATAATATTTTTTGTTCTAATACTAGAAAAAAAAACAAGGTGTTATTAAAGATATTTGAAAATAACAATACGGATTGTATTGTCTATTTGTTCACGTTTGAATTTAGACTACTTAGCATTTCATTTAAACTTATACTGATCAAAATATAGCATTGCTTCTAATGTACGAATGGGTTTCTTCTATATAATTGCGTCTTTATTGCTTAGAACTTTTGTTTATATTTTCTAATTTCAATAAAAACACCTTATACGACATGCACTATCTAATGTCCTTTCATTTTTTTGTAAACTCATCACAATATACTTATCTTTATGGTACATGACACTTACGGTGGACTGAAAAATATAAATAGAAATACAAGTTTTAAATCTGAGGAATAATTCAAAACAATCACGATATAGAGAAAAAACAAGGTGTTGTTAATGATATTTATAATCAACAATATTAATTGTATTGTCTAATTGTTTACGTTTGAAATTAGACTTCCTAGCATTTCATTTAAAATATTACTGATCAAAATATCGCAATGCTTCTAATATTGGAATGGGTTTTGTTACTTCTATATAATAGCGTCTTTATTGATTAGAACTGTTTCTATGTTGTCCAATTTCAATAAAAACACCATACACAACATTCACTATCTATTGTTCTTGCATTCTCTATTTTTTTGTAAAAAAGTCGTATACTATATTTTAGAGTACATAACACTTACATCGGACTAAAAAAAAAATACAAGTTTAAAATCTGAGGAATAATTTAAGACAATCACGATACAGCAAATACTCATCTCAAAAACACCAGTTTATAAATTTTACTGAATATGTTCAGCATATTGTTTTGAAGTGTTTTAGTTTTCTTAACTAGAAACTGTGTTTTCTTGTGGTAGCTATTCAAACGAAGTATAGATATCAGAAATGACAAACAAAGTGGTGAACACGAATATTTATATCCCAAAAATAGTCATTATCTTCTCTTTTAGAGTTTATAAAAATCACGATAGCATCAATGTTTTCTATAGGTGTTTTGTATCTATATTATCCAGTAGTACATTATATACAAATCATAGTAGAACAAAAAAATTGAAATGTATATTATAAAAATACTAGTATATTGACAATGTGATGTTCTTTTGCTGATCGCCTATTGATGAGTAGTTACTGCATAATCAGGAGTATATACATGGTATGTAGCACAACATTCTATTTTTTGAAAAGCAATTAAATGATAGGTATAGTCAAAAAGAATAAACAAGACTAAACATAACGTCACAATTTTGACATCGGTTAACTTCCGTCTCCCTAATACAAACATAAGGACATTCCAAGATTTGACACTAGGACAAATTTGGATTTTTTTTACGTAATTAGCATATCCAGTGGCTGCATAAATAATCACATGATTCAAGCTTTATAAACTATTAATCGCCTGTCATAATCAAGTCATATTATTTCATAATGTATTCTCATATTTCAATACTTTACAACAATAATCTAAAAATGCAATTTCTTATAATCTTTCCAAAAGGGTTGTTTTAAAGAAAAGCAGATAATAGTGTTTTACCAACCCATTTTTAAATACTTTTTTTTCGACTATTTCTCTCTTAAAATGGTATGTTTATTGTTTTACTTTACTACACTACGTTCACCATTATATAAATAGTGTTATATTATAAATTGCAAATATAATTGTACGCTATACTTATCTGTTTGCTATTTGACACTTACCGGCTGAAAAATTCAAATAAATATTCATAGAATACAGCATACCATTTAGCAATGAATTATTACAACGAAAATGGAATTAATTGAATTTGTACTAAAGTGATAGTAGAACATTTCGAGATGACAGCTTGGTCTGTCAGATTATTCAATAGTAAAGTCATTAGTCATGCCAAATATTGAAATGTGATATTTGTATGATTTTAAAGTGTCGCTTTATAAATTTAGAAATTATAACGAAACTTAGGTTTCAACACCCTCAAGTAATGTTGACGTTAAGTTGATATAATTATTTTGGTGTATGTTCTCTATGGTTATATACTTATACGTCCTTTGATTTAAACATTTCTGCTTTGAGCGTGTCCCGTTAAGGTAAATTTAGAAAACAGAACGTAAAATCAATCCCGGATTTTTGTTTTTTGTATACTGTTGTTTGTCGTTTTGTCTGTTGAGGTTATGCCATGGCGTTGTCAGTTTAGTTTCGACTAATTAGTTTGAATGTCTGTTTGGTATGTCCGCCTCTTTTGTAGACGGAACGCGCGTCTATAACACATCATTGTCATGGTATGTCTATGGGTTTACTTTATTTTTTATTGCTTTATTTTGCTATTCTACTAACACCATTGTATAAATATCGTTATATTATGAATTGCATAGATAATTGTACGCTTTACTTATCTGTTTGCTACTTGACACTTACAAGCTGAAAAAATTCAAATAAATATTCATAGAATTCAGCATACCATTTAGCAATGAATTATAGAAACGACAATGAAATTAATTGAATAAGTAGTAAAGTGAACATGTTAAGATGACAGCTTGTTCTTTCAGATTATTGAATTAGTATTGTCATTAACCATGCCAAATATTGAAATGTGATATTTGTATGATTTCACAATTTCGCTAAATAGATTTAGAAATCATTATAAACTTAGGTTTCAACACATACAATTAAAGTTAACCTTAGGTTGATTTAACCAGTTTTGTTTATACAAAAATAAGGAGATGTAGTTTTAGTGCCAATGAGACAGCTATCCACCAAAGTTCAAATGAAGTGAATGTAAGCAATTATAGGCAACCGTAGAGCCTTCAACAATGAGAAAAACCCATACCGTATGGTCGGCTATAAAAGAGCCCGACATGAACAATATAAAACAATTAAATTGAAAAAACTAACTGCTAATTTATGACAAAACAATTTACGAAAAACAAATATAACAGATATGAACCAACGACAACAACTGAACTACATGTTCTCTATAGTCACATACTTCAACTGTTTCGGTTATCATAAATCCTTGGCTTTAAACATTTCTGGTTTGAACGCTTTCCATGAAGGTAAATCATCAACACACAGTACATAAAATCACATCCGGTTTTGTGTGTTTTGTATACTGTTTGGTGTCTTTTTGTCAGTTGAGGTTTCAGCCATGGCGTTGTCAGTTTATTTTCTACCTTTGTGTTTGACTGTCTCGTTGGTATCCTCCGCCTCTTTTGTAGACAAAAGGCGCGTTTGGCATACATAATTTTTATCCTGGTATCTTTTTTATATTGTTTTATGGTATAATATATTACTACTGGCAGTGCATGTTTAATTCTATGTAAAGAATGAATCAATTCGAAAGCATTTGGTCTATACAAATTTAACTACATTATTCATTGAATTTCGGTTTCTTAAAAAGAATAAAATTACATTGAATGTTTTAATGATCGAATTTATCACTTTAACCATGCGTGTTATAGAAGAGAGAAACAGGTTGATGTCAAACATCTTTGAAAAACCCCATATGAATTTGTATTGTTCAATTGTTTCCGTTTGAATTTAAATTACTTAAGATTTTTTTAAAAGTATAATACTGATACCTAATTGACCAATATTTTAGGTTATTTTGACTCATCTTATTCCATCACTTTATCATCTCGTTTAGTACGGAATTAGGAGACCTTCTTTTCATAAAAAACGAATGTAGTGAACAACATTCGATTACGTTCTAGTTGATAAACAAACATAATAAAAATGCAAAATGCTAGAAATTTGACATTCATTATCAAAAGTGAAGAACCTCATGCAAAACACATGTATTAAAGATACAATGTGCATACTTGTGAACCCTCAGCTGTGTGTTTCTTTTAAAAAAAAATTGACGCTCGAATAAAATAAAGTTGAAAGACTAAATAAAGTATGAAGTTGATGAACATTGAGGACTTATAATCTGAACAGTTTTGCAAAATACAGTTTATCAAAGACCTTCAATTTTGGTATTGTAAGTTATTGATAAGTATAATGTTTGCTCACTTACTTATGCTGAGACGTTTACAATTGCGAACATATTAGATATAAAACAAAAAGGAAATGAAATTTTACAAACGTACACAAAACTATAGGACTTACAGACTTAGGAATTACTGTTTCAACGCTCTGTCAGCAGTCATCGATCAGTCAAGTTCACGCTAAACTCACGTTATAAATCAATCAGACTAACAGCGAAAATCTTTGACTGATCGGACCGATTTACCTTTCTGACGTTTTGAACTGTACTAGGTCACATAATGAAATTTTACAATTTAAAACGAAAAAAATAAAAAGCCCAACAAGTTAAAACTAATCACTCAGCAAAGTTTTCATATCTACAGTTTTACGTTTGTTAAATGTGAGTTGAAATATGCTGATAGAAGTAAAATTTCAATTTTATAAAAAAACAATGCGATTGTAGTTAATATAAAGGCATTTTTTCATCAAACCCGACGAGTGCTAAAAACGTTGTTTATTGCGATTGCTAAAATCAACTTAATTTGCTGAAATGCTCTAAAAAATCAAATAAACAAATATTGCAAATTTCGTTGCATGATTTTTTATGAAGAACAACTAATCCTGATGTACAAAAAGAATTATATGGTTGATGATTTCCATAACAATATAATAAAATGAAGAAATAATTGTATTTGAATTTAACACAAAAATG